CAATACAAGTGATATCATCTATAACTTCATCTTCTTTTTACCATGCTTCTGTGGCTTCTTTAACCAATCTTTCAACAGCTCCTTCAGCATCATTTTTCAAATAGTATCCATAGACAACTTCAACAATCCATTTATTATCGAGAAACCTTGAATATAAATAATATAATACTCCCAAATTCCATCTGATGCCATGATTAAGAATTTGTCATTTTAAAATGTATGTTTAATTATTTCTGGAATTGAGATTACGCCTACTTATGCAGCTACATAATCTCCAAAACTTCGAGACATTGCCAATCCTGGAATATTTTCATCTAATAACCAAACTCTAGCTGGACCAATAGGATTTCCTTCTTCATCTGAATATGCTTAAACTCTTCCTCCATTTTATATAATTCTTTTTTCCTCTTTAGGTAAATCTGGTTTTTAATCATGAGACAATTCAACTACATGTAATCCATCTTTTTATCTTCCTAAAATTGCTCTTGAATCTCCAATATTTGCACACCATCCCATATGTTCTATAATCAATAAACATACAGTTGTAGCTCCACTAAATGTAATATCAATTCCTGAAGTATATAATTCTTTTGTTGTTCTTTCAAATGCTTATCTTAAAATCACTTATATCATCATATCTTAATCATTTTTGCCAATTTTATGAGATTTTAATAACTAATCAATAATAATTGGTAATCTTTCTTAAACAAATTAAGCAACTTCATGTCCATTTACTCCATGTCCATCTGAAACTTATATTAAATATGAATTATCTATATTTCCTATTCCTTCATGAATTGCATATGAATCTTAATTTACTTTCTCTTACTTTGTATGCAACATTCCAGCTTAAGTTCTATAATTATTATTATTATAATTAACTTCACTGCATATTTTGATATTAATCTTCTATCAGTTACTATTATATCTGGATTAGATATTGATCTATAACCCTTTATTTTCTTAGCAGATTATTTCTTTATATATTCTATTAATTTATTGGCAATATCACTTGTAGGCTTCAAATCACCATTACTCATTGCTCTACTATGTATTTAAGGTGGTGATTTGTGAGTTTATTGATGTTGTTTTTGTAGATCCAATAATTTCTGAAATTGCTTTTAAATTAGTTCTTCATGATATTTAAGATTGCTATCAGGTTTCTTACTTTTAACTAAATTTTGGATTTATTGTCTTGAATTAGGTCTATTTTTTTTTAAATTTGCATCATTTATATCAAGAATACATTTGCTACGAGAATTCTATTTTCTATCTAATTACTGACTATTATGATGACCATTTCCTCCATTCTTTATTAAAGAAATTAAATCATGTGATAATGCAGTTGATTTTGAGACTTTATTATCAGTTTTAGCTAGTGATGAAACCCCTGATTAAACCAAATACCTTTTATATGAATTATTTTACATACTTATTCTTCTTTATAGGTGACTATCCTACCTTTTAAGGAGTAGTCTATGGCCTAGTCATTGCTAATTTTTATTAACTGGCAGAATTAATCTTCATTAATATATATATTATCAACTGTTAGTTAGAAATAATCTAAGGAAAATTTATAATGTATCATACTCATTTTAACCTCTTTTACTAATTCAATATCCTATATTAATTTAATATAAAGATTTAGTCTGTTAGATTCTTTTTAATTCACCATTTCTTTTACTATATCAGAAATAATATCAATCATATCCACTGTTGTTGTTAAGATTATTAACTAATATAGTGAGGATAAGTAATATTAATTTATTCTAAGAAAAAGCCTTTTTTAAATGAAAGTGAAAATTTCAAATTGGAATTTTACTATAGTTGTTACTTTATGAATAATATTAGATCTGTTAGTATTTTTGTCAATAATGAAATTTAAATAATATATAATTGAGGTAGATGAGATATAAACATATCTAGAACCTTTGAGTTTAACTTAATTAACCTATACGAAATAATTGATGTTTATTTTAATAACTTTAATAGTACTACTAAAGTATAACTCTTAAAGACAGGAATTAAAAAAAAGAATAATTATAATCCAAGGTGTATTATATTTTTTTCTTTATTAGAAAATCTAATAAAAAAGAATATTAAAAAGTACAAGAAAACTTAAATAATTATTAATTAATTTAACATCATTCATTATAAAATTTTTGATCAACAAAAACTTTATTCTAAAACATTGTTATATTGAAATCATATTACTTAGTTTATATAACTTTGATATACTTATGATATTCTATCAATTTGCTTTATTATTTCTGTATTTTTATTCAAATGTCTCTTTTTAAAAGAATCATATTTAATAATCAATTGTAAATATGCAGTTTAGAAAGAGATATTTCTAAAACTGTTAATGGTTTCTATATTTGTTTACGTAAAAAAAAAATAAAGCTTTCTTAATTTGCTTTATTCATTCTAAACTGATGATTTCAATAGTTGCATCATAAATTTATAAATTAAATGTCTTTAGTATCAGTAAAAGAAGCAATATTATATAGGTTATTAATAGTAACCTATATAATATCATCAAAATATTTATTTTTTTTATCTTTGAACCAATCATGTTATTAAGTTTAATTAATTTACTCTAAGGGTTTTTCATTTTTCTAATTATTAAAAATCATTCATAACTTAAATTAATTAGGATTACCCAATTATATATAATATTAATAAAAAAAAAAAGTTATCAATAATTATAATTTATTACAAAAAAAATGGATTATTTTTAACCACTGAAATGTGGAAATAGTTATATTCTTTAATTTTTCTAAAAATACAAGAATTATTACATTAAATAAATTTTATAAATAAAAATACTTAACAATAATGTCCGAATCAAGAGCGTAAGTAATACTAATATGATAAAATTAGTTTTGCTAATGCTATGGCAGCATTACAAAAAAAGTCAGCTATTTTAGAAGAAGAAAATAAAATTTTGCATAGTCAATTAAAAAGTTGTCAATATGAATTGCAAAAATTAGTGGAAGAGTTATCAAACAAAGATAATATATTTGAAACATTAGAGAAAAAATTAAAAATTACAATTACTTAATTAGAAGAAGAGTTATTTAAGAAAGATGAAGAGATTTTACATAAAGATGCTTAAATAGAAAGTCTTTCTTAAGAATTACATTAATGTTTAATAGATTAAAGTAGAATTATGGATTAACAATTAAATGATAGATAATAATTAAGTGAATAATAGGAATAAATTAAAAAATTAAAATAAGTCATACATAAACTTAAAGAACCAAGAAAGGATGATGTTAGATTTACTTAAAGTGAAAAGAAAACAAGTTTTGTTTCTAAATTAGATAATGCTGTTGAATAATATTTTAATAATGAAAATTAAGGATATGAATAATTAATTAGAAGAATATCTAAATTAGAGAAGGAAATAAAAGATATGGAAAATGAATAGAGTAATAAAATACTCTTAGATTAAAAAATATAATTACTAAAAGAATTATAAGAGTAAGAAGAGTCACTTTTACAATATATTTGAACTTAATTAAAATAAAAAAATCATCCACTTGTATATTTTGTCACTGCTTTGGTTCCTTCTGAGATAGCATGTCTGGCCAATTCTCCTGGAAGTAATAATTTGACAGCAGTTTAGATTTCTCTTGAACTAAGGGTTCTTCTCTTATTAAATCTGACTAATTTGCTGGCTTCAAGAGCAATTCTGTCAAAAATATCATTAATGAATGAATTCATGATGTTCATAGCCTTTCTAGAAACACCAATTTCTGGGTGAACTTATCTTAAAACTTTGTAGATATATAATGCAAAAGTTTCTTATCTTCTTCTAGACTTCTTCTTGTCATCTGTAGTTTTTTTGGTTTTAACAGTCTTTACTGTTTTTTTTGCTTCTGCTTTTGGTGATTTTGATGGAGCCATTTTAATTAATATTTTAAACTGAAAACCCAAGCGCTCTTTTTAAAAAAAATTCTTAAATTTGATTGGCTGATTAAGGATAATTGCGTATCTAACTTTTTATTGGTTGTTCTACACAAAAAATGGCTAAAATGCTTCCAAAATAGTGCAGCACAATGGAGTATACTTCATTTTTCATCAATTTTAGCACTTTCATCTCTCCATTAGACTTTATTAATAAAATAAAGAACTTAATTAATATAAATTTTATAATTATATACCCCCTCTATCTCTACTCATTTAATTAAAAAATGAATAATAATTTATATGTCTAACGAATATGAATCAAAAATCTTGTTTGCTATTTATCGTCTATTTAAGTCTGAATAAATTAATGAAGACTAAAGAGGAGAACTAAAAGGTAAAATATTAATGACCGTATTAAGATCTTCTAATAACAAAGAATAATCAAATAATGAACCTTATAGAACCCTATGAAGAAACCTTGTTAACAATATTTGATAATAATTCTGATATTACATCGTAATGCAGTTAAAAATCATACAAACATTTGAGACCATCTAAGCTAGATATTAGACCTACTTATAGAAAGTCATTATAAGATATCTCTTAGAATATCAATCATTAAAGTCTATCGACCATGTTCAAGAAGAAAAAATTTATTAATTGATTTACTTATTTAGACACTTATTATATAATTGTAATAAAAGCAAAAAATAAAAAATAGTTGTTTTTCTTTTTATATTTAAAATATAATAAATAAAAAGATATAAGTTTAAAACTTAGATTTGATATAAAAGATAGAGATGGATTTAATTATTCAATATAAATCTTTATTTAATAAATATTATTAAGAAAGTATTGATTTTAGAATAATAAATGTTTGTTTAATTTAATTAATTACTAAAAACTTTAACCTTTTAAGATATAATCTAAATGCTTATTATTAACAAAATGATTGTTCCATACTTTAATTTAAAAAAAATAATTATTATTTAATTAATTATTAGAATAAAGAAGTTAAAATACTACTTTATTTTTTGTATAATTATAATATACCATAAATTTTCTTATGATTAACTTGGATATGGATTATAAATTGTTTCAAATACATTAATTTAATTAACTATATAAAAATAATTGGATATATGTGGAACCTTATTTCAATTAATCCTATCTGTTAAAGAAAGAAAATAGTAAATGATTAAGAAAAACTATTATCTAAAATAACAAATACTAAAAGTAGAATAGATACATCTGCTCCTTGGAAACCATCTCATTCACTTTCAAAATGGAATAATAAATATTCTCATGGTATCAATTTCATTCTATTTAACTTTAGCTGAAGAAAACAAGATAGCTTATGAAAATAATATAATGTTAAATAAGATGGTTAATATTTAAAAATAAGGAAATAAAAGTATTATTTCTATGCCTCATTTACCAAAATCTTAATAGATAACAAAAAGAATTCAAAGAGAAAAACTATAATAAGAAAATTTAGTATTATTTAATAATATTGAAGTAACTATTGGATAGATTATAGAGTGCTTAAGCTACATACAATAAATAGTTTTGGGTACCTGATGATTAGAAAAATCAAGTTTATAAATAATTGCATAGACCAAGTGATTTATATATATATATATTAGAAATACAGCAGCATGATTACAATGAATTAGCAAGAAAGCAATTAGGATCAAGATCAGCTGCAAGATTTAATGAAATACCAGATTCATGATAATGGATGTCTATATTTAATTTTCCATTCCTTCATATATTTTTTATTGCTTATTTTCAGTTTCATATCTTCGTCTTGTATTTAATTAATATCAATTAATTATTATAGAAAGTTTTGGCCTATAAATACCCAGGCAATCAATTCGATTCCAAATAAATACATCATCAAATAATTAGATTAAAAATAGCAACCAATAACTTTGACAATAAGCCAGAGTCCCAATGTAAAACAACTTAATTATAAGAGGCTGTAAAGATATTTTCCATTACTAACCATTTCCTATTTTGAGACCATCAACATGAAAAAATCTCCAATAAATCTGAATCCAAAATACCATAAACCAGCAATTAAAATGAAAGGTGAAGTTGTATTGAATATACATATGATTGTTAAATTAAGAAGCATCTAAGCTGATATATATCCATACTAAACACTAAATTCATTTGACTTCTAATAATGTTATGCATCATTTTCATATAATCTCATATAATATGCCATATATGAACTCAAATAATTGAAGTAAAGTTCAGATGGTCTAATCAATTCTACTAAAAATGCACCAGTACCAGAATAAAACAAAAATGTTATATAATATAACTAAAGTAGATTCTAACATAAATTATTACCCCATAATTAGTTTAATTATCAAATGCTTTCTATAATTAAATGTTAAATCCATTATATGTAATATTAAACAATGTCTCTGATGATTGTAATAAAAAGGCTGGAATTACTAAAACATTTAATATCAAATAAAAAAACATTTTATGGAAAAAGGAAATATGATATTATGACCATCTTTCATGTTTTTCTGCCTAAGCTAAAAAGATAATCATAATTTTTTTTACTTATAACATCTAATAAATATAAAATGATTTAGTTGATCGAAATTAAAATTATTGGAGGAATATTATTTTTAATTATTCTTCCAAAAGGTTCAGGAATTAAAATAGTCCATTTAAAAGATAGAAACTCTAAACCAGGAAATTTAGATAAATATTAATATAATGCTTAAGGTGATGTCACAAATATAAGTAAAGTCATAATTAACAAATTTAGAATAATAGTCCTCCAAATTCTAATTTAATTACTTTCTATAGTAAAATTAACCCAATTTATATCATATAAATCAGGGGCTAATTATATTTAATATTAAGTTAAAGCATTTTAATTGCATAATTTTAATTATGTTTACAATCTATCAACACATATAAAACAATGTCCTGATAATTTAAATGGCTTTTATAATTATTAATCAATCTATTGTTCTATTAATGATAAATTAGGTAAAGGATAAAATAATGGTTTCTACAATTCTAAAATTCCTAATTAATATTTAAATAAACATCTATTTTTCTCCAATTCTAATAATTTAGAGTATTCAGGAATGATTGAAATTCCCATAATTGTTCCAGGATCACCAACATCATTTAAATATTTTAATATTTCTAACATCATCATCACACCATCATAATCATCATAATCCATTCCCCTTATATGGAGAGTCCTTATTGTATAATTTGTAAATTAATCTGTTGTAAACATTTGAATATAAATTATCTGCAGTTCTTTTCTTATTTATATTAAAATTGCAAATATTACTAAAAGTAACATTGAACTTATAATGAAGTCTTAGTTTGGTAAAATATTCAATTAGACAAATAATTTTTAATAATCATTTAAATAGTTCCATGATATTTTACATATACCCATAATAAGATAATAAAATATTGTATAGTAACTTAAACCAACAAATAATTTTTATTCAAATAATAATAAAGTCAATCCATCAAATCCACATTAATTTAATATTAAATTTGTATTTGCTGTTTGAATTATGTTATAAGCATCACTTAATGATTTTATTTAAAATTCTTCTATAAATATTGGATATTATAGCCATATAACTTTCCATAAGAAGATCGTTATAGCTATTAAAGTAATATTTATAAAAATTGATGATCCCAATAGTAAATAGTAATCTGATTATTCATATTCCATTTCAAATTTAATTAATAATAATTCTTTTTCTTATTAGGAAATAATCTAATCTCTTTTGAATTTAATATCTAAACCTTATTTTATCTAATCCAATATCTTTGTATATCTTTGGACTTATAACAACTATATCGTTTTTTATCTTCATTATTAATATTAAACTCTAAAATATCAATAAAAATGGCTGAAGAATCCGTCCCTTTAACTATTAGCCAAGGCCAGAAGAATTATAAAACAAGTTTAAATAATGAAAGAGAATCTTCTTAATTTTTCTGCAATAAATGTTAAAAAGTTTAAGAATCAAATGTTGATCATAAAATAGGAACTTGGACATTAATATGTTGTGGTATCTGGTGTATATTGACATTCATCGGAGGGTTAATACCCTTATGTTGTAAACCTTGCAAAGATGTTGTTCAATATTGTCCAGAGTGCAATTAAAAAGTAGGAGAAGTTCCATTTTCTCCTTGTTGAAATATTCAATGAACAATATTAATATAAATTTATTATAATCATTGATTCTATGAATCAACTATTTTCAATAGTTCAGCTTTCTTTTTAACGCTTAACATTTTTGAAAATGAAGAAATACTTAAAATATATCCTAAAATGCAATAAAAAATAAAAGTTGCCTTTTGAGATCACTCGTTCTCTTATACTGCTATTACATTCATTGATGCTGTTTCTACAGCTATTATAAATGTAATAAATAAAGCCCATTTATTAAATTATGAAAGTTAAAGTAATTATCTCAATAGAACATTAAAAATCAAAATACATATTTAAATATTACCATACCAATCACAATTATATTGATTCCAATGAATAAATAGATGACCTAATAATTGAATAATTAATAGCAATAATACTAAATCTGTTCTAAAGCAATAATCCATAAATAATTATATATATATTTATCTATAATCTCATATTCTATTTGATGATCTCTAAAGATTATAGATAACTTAAACATTAAATTTTTAATCATTTAGACTTAAATTATAACATAAATTTGAATAATAAATAAATTCGATTTATAATAGACATAAAAATTAGATAATTACTACAAAAGTAAATTTTCTTCATAATTTCAAAGATCATTAAACAATAATTTAGTTCTAATTTTATCAAAATTTTATGTATTTTAAGGCCTTTGTTATAAATTGGCTAATAAGTGCGTATGGCTGCTGCATAAAAATTGTATTAAAATCAAATTTGACAATATAGGGTTACTTAACAATATTATTATTTTATCTATCATCTTATATAAATATGAGAATAAGTATTCATTTAGAAGTAAAATCTATATTATTTCTTAGTTTAAAATAATTAATCTTAAGATAATTTTATTTTTTGAATTATAAAAAGAGAATGAATACAGATATCGACATGTAAAAAGATGACAAGCTTAATTAAACTAAAAAGGATCTTATTGGAAACTTTAAGAAATATCAAACATTCATATTCTGGATTTCATAGAAAATTGATTAATTGTAATTTGAATTCCTTAATTTGACGATAAATTTTCTAGATTGTCATTTAAACAACATTATTTTCATTAATTTCAGTATTCCAAGAATTAACTTTTATTAATTTACTTTTTGATCAGATGTGAAAAAAAAGAAATTTAGATTTAAGATGCTTAAATAATTATTAATTGATCAATGAATTTAAAGTTTAGAGAATAGTAGAGAATTATTAAAGTCCTTTTTATTTTGAATTTTTGGTTATTATGTGGCATAAGGCTTGAAATATAATTTTAATAATAAAAATAGTTCGTTAAATTATTAATGTATTTGGCTTAGAAATAGATGTACTCATAACATCCATCTTACACTAATGGATCATCACAGAATGTTAAAAAGATGATAGAGAACTTTTCGTATGGACTTCATTAGTAAATTGGAAAAGGATTCAGCAGTAAGGTATATAAAGGACAAAATGAAGTGACAGGTGAAACAGTAGCTATTAAGGTAATATGAAGTCTATTTAGGTAATTGACAAAGCCTTACTGAAGACACCTTTGCATCATGCCTTATTGCAAAGTGAAATAGAGGCACTAAGTACTTTAGATAGTCAATATATAATGAAATTATACAAAGTATAAAATAATCTTAAGTCTATAGGTATTTCAAACATAAAATAATACTTACTTAATTACAGAATTTTGTGAAAATGGTGATTTGGGAAGTAAATTAACCAAAATTGGTAAATTTCCAGAGTAACAAGCACAAAATGTTATATTTGGATTGGTTAAAGCCTATAAATTATTAAAATAGAATGGTATAATACATAGAGATATTAAACCTGCTAATGTGTTATTGTCATCATGTGGAACTCCAAAATTAGCAGACTTTGGATTTGCAACAACTCCTAATTCTCCTCCATTATTACCTAATGTTAATGTTGGTAGTCCTCTTTATATGAGTCCATAAGCTCTTAAAAATAATAAATATTCTGATAAATCTGATATTTGGGCAATAGGAGTATCAGCATTTGAAATAATATTTGGATAAGTTCCTTGGTAAGCAACAAGTGAAAAGGAATTAGCATAAAAAATGGTTAGTGTACAATTAACATTCCCATCATCAACAAAAGTTAGTTAAGAATGCAAAGAATTTATTAAACGTTGTTTAGTTGTAAATGAATAAGAAAGAGCATCAATAGATGAATTAGAAAAGCATCCTTGGATAAGAGGACCTGAATTAGCATTCTAAGTCAATAAATAACCAGCTTTAATGAAATAAAAAACATTAGAATAACCAAAAGAAGGTAAAGAAAATAGTGCAAAAAAATTACCTGGAGATTCTATTCATAGAAGTGGAAAGAAACATACAACTTAAATAACTAAACCATTAGGATAATAATAAAAATAAAGTATTTTATTTTATTAATTTATTAGCTGAAACTAGTTCTTTTGAAATTAAAAGTAATACTTCTAATATTGAATATACTATTATGTCTTAAATCAATTTTTGCAAATATTTATTTAGAGTTGCAAATTTGATTGAAAATACTAATCTATTTAGAACTGATTTGCTAAGAGATAAGTTATTATTCTTTGCAATTAAAAATATTATGATCAAAATGTATAAACTTAAAGATATTGTAAATAATAATATTCTATTTTAGGATTCAAATTCTCTTGATATTCAAGGTTTTGATGCATACAAGACTTCAAATTAGTTTTAATCAACATAAATTACAATCTAGTAAAACTTTACTAAATACTAATCATATTTTAAGAATATCTGGTCTTCATTATAATAAAATAAAAATGAATTGTCAATTGATAAAAAATTTGATGCTGTTTTTGATGAAAATTTCACTGAATTCGAATCTTTTTATATAATCTTCAATTCTGTATTACGTCAAGCAATTAAAGAATTACAAAAAGAAATTGATAAAAAATTAGGCTCTGATGATTTATCTAAAAGTTTACCAATTGATATGGAAAAAGATGTGGTCTTACTAGACTATTTGGTCACTTACTTTTAATTATCATAATTGACTTTAGAGACCTTTAATAAACCTTATGAATTTGCATAAAAATCAAAAATAGAACATATTGCAGAAGGAAGCCCTGTTAGATTAACTTATGGACACTTTATTGAAATCAAAAATAAAATGAGTGACTTAGAAGTTTGATTTTATAATTTACTTTATGAAATATTAAAAAATATGACTTTATAATTTTCTTCATTATATCAATAAAGTATATATATATAACAAATAAAATATCTCATTAGATATTTTGTTTATTAATATATTTTATTATTATATTAATAAATATGAATATTAGAAATTAGCTTATATAGTCTATTTGATATATTGTAACATAATAATCAATCATTATCTGAATCCCACATTTTTGGATCTAATTCATTACCGCCATATTCATCTTCAAATGCCATATCAGCTCCATCTTATAACCTATTTTTTTGAATTAATTATATACATGAGCTCTTATTCATTTAGATGCTCAATCCATAATTAATTATATTCACTAAACTTGATTTCTTTAATTTTTTCACATAATTCTTAATCATACTCTCTTAATATATCTAAGACTTCTTCTGACATCTACTTAACTTTTTTGTTTTTATCATTTAATTATTATATTATCTAAATTAAGATTTCATCCCTCAAAATATGAATATTTTTACTATTCCAATATTTATGATATTCCTATTTTATGAAACAGAAATTAGTTTAAACAATACAAATATTGTACAACAAATTCATCATCATCTCCCTTTTCACAATAAACTTAAGACAAAGCATTTAATATTCTACTCTTAAATAGTTTTTCAGCTGCATTTTATGAATTTGCTATAGATGATACCAACATCATTGTTTCTAATACAATATCATCATCAATCATTCCAACAGCTAAATTATTATGTAAAAATTCAATAAATGGTTCATTTAATAATTTAATCCAATTTTCTTATAAATCTAATGCACTCATAATCCCTATGATTTCAAATTTAAGATCTTCTTCTTTTCCTTATGTTACTAATAATTTCATAAAATGTCTCACAAATCCTTTTGCACATGTCTATACTTCTGGATTTGTAGAGTTTTCAATTACTCCTTTTACAAATCTAAATAATAAAGTATCTGAATTAGTTATAGCTCTCTAAACTATTTATTAAAATTCTTGCTCTTTAATATGATCAACATTTCTTGAACTTGTTGATAAATTAACAGCTAAAGATATTAATTCTTTTCCAATTACAGGTTCAGGGAAATGAAGCATTAATTTTACAACCAAAGTCATACATTCAGTAAAACCAAAAGTTAATCTGATTTTATCATCTAAAGTAAGTAAATACAACAAAACTATTGATACAAATCTATAATTTGGTATTTTCAACATCTTTACAATATCTGGAATAAATCCATTTTATTCAATTTATAATCGAGCTTCAGAATCAAAACTTAAATTTTTAAGAACACCTATTATTATATTCATATCTATAAAATACCTAAACTTAATTGTAACAATACATTATTATCAGCACTAAAGAATCTCTTTAACTTTCTAATGCAATTCTCTTCAACCATTTACATTTTACATTCATTTACAATACTCAATTTTTTTAAAAACAATAAGGTCACTATTAATAAATAGAAATTATTTCTTTCTAACATTCTAAGCAAAAATGTTATAATCTTTCGTTTCCTCATCTTATTTTCTATAATAGGATCTTCAGCCATATTCATCAAAATAGTAAAACCTACATAAAATAACTTCTCTTATTTTGCTATCATCAAATTTAATTTTTTTAACTCTTATAATTGTTAAGGTTAACCCTGTTTTTCCATTAATTCTGCATATCTCAAATCAAATCTCTAGATTTATGACTCTATTATTTTCATTGTAATATCTCCTATTTAATGTTCAGATAATATTTAATGAAACTCTAAATAGTTTGACACAATATAAAAAACACATAATAAATAGAGAGTAAGTTCTGTTGATTTTTTATGTTCATCTCTCAAAGTTCTAGATATTGTTGATAAGAATTATTCTAATGAAGATTATTATAAATAAATACCATGTGATATTAATAATTCTAGATTTTCTTATCGAGCAGCTAATCCAAGAATTTTCTTTGCTGCTTCCTTTTTAGGCTCTATTTTCTCATCATAAAATGCTTCCAATAATTTTTCAAGCAAATCTTCAGAATCCATTTATTTATTTAAATTATATCAATAATTGCTAAAATGAATATTCATATCAATTAGCAACAAGAATTTGTTTAAGCTGGCTATTGTGATTTTTTAGAATCCATGATTTCTTTCTACTTTTTATCATAAGCAATTTTTATTGCTGTATCAAATAGTGGTTTTAATCCTTCTTATGTTAATGCTGAGACTTCAAATAATTAAGCATTGATATTCTTTACTAATTATTCAGCCTTTATTTTAATAAATATTTAATTACAGCTGATTTTTTAATATGTCTTGAATTACCTTCATCTCTCATATCAATTTTATTTCCTACTATTAACTTTGGAACTTAGGCAAATTTATCTTTGTTCAATTCAGGATACCACTATAATTTAGGTTTAATATTTACTTTCTCAAGGGCATTCTAAAAAGTTGTGTTCTCAGTTACTGAATAAACAATTAAAAAGACATCAGTTCCATCATAGCTTAATTATCGAACTTGATTATATCCTTCTTATCCAGCCGTATCCCTAATTTAATATTATTATACCATAAACTTAAATTAACATCATGTCCATCAATTTGAACTTTTGATTAATAGTTATCAAAAACAGTTGGTACATAATCGGTTGGAAATTTATCTGTTGTATAACTATAAATGAATAACTATTGAAACTAATCTACCTCAATAATATGCAAGTTTTTCCAACTGATCCATCTCCAACAACTAACAATTTTATTGTTAAAGGTTCTGCCATTTTTTAAAAATATAATTATTATTATTTATATGTTCAATAATAATAATATAATAAACATAAAATATTCCATTATTTTTTGTACTGTTAGGAAATTATTCCTTTTTATTTTTGAGGAACACTTCATCAAATAGTTCATTGATTTATTAAAGTAAGTTTATTAAATTAATATTTATAATCATTTGATTACTTTTTTAGATTTCACTTGATCATTATATTTCTAAGAATGTTCTAATTTATGTAAAACAGAAGAATTGCTTTATTTTTTTGTCTGAAACTTCGTTTTCATACATTGAGTACTCTTCGTATTTGTTTAAGCTTCTTCCTAATATTCCTCTTTGATGATCAATTAGTCATTTTAATTTGCACTTTAGTTCGCAAATCGAAGTTATTAACTAGTATTGCTGTATATACTTAACTAAAACTATAGTAGTTAAGGAATGTAGAACTGTTTGAGTAATTATCTTAATAATATATAATTCTTACTGTAAAGTCGAGCTTAATTACAATTAATTGCTGATCTGCATTTTCTTTTTATGTAAATGACAAATAATTTTATAAATTAATATAATGAATTTTTTTCTCCAAAATTTATGAATTATGAATTTAACATATCTTTTATTTTATAATATGAACTAAATCATAAATTTAATAATTTAATTCTTTTTAAGAAAAATGATATTCACCTAAGTTTAAATAAAATTATGCCAAAAATTTAAAGTGTTTTTCTTTATCTATTCTCAAAAATTATTTCTCAATATGTCACACTTTGATCTATGATGACTCTTATGAATTTCTTTTATTCGTATAAGCTTAAATGTAAATCTCATAAACACTAGGTTTAACTATAAGATTTTATGATTTTAAAATTTATTACTTTTATACTCATTATGTAAAATAATATAAAATGCCACAAAATATTATAGTATTTATAAAATATTAAATTAATGAAAGTTAGTTAGTAGAATGTAATCTTATAAATATTCAGTTTAATTTATTAAAATGAAAATTAATTTTGATCAGAACTTCTGGTTTATCATATAATTTTAACTTAAAATAAAAATAATTGAAAAATTCTTTTAAACTTGATTAAAAGTTTAATGCAAAACCTGTTTAAATTAAGGATTAGGAGAAAGTTTCAATTGAAACAATTACTATTAAAGACAAGCGTTTGTAATTAAAAAAATACTCATGTTTAGCCCTTTTTGAAAGTAATTCTTCTTAAATAACAATATTGTAAAAATTTAAGAGTTTTTCTTACTTTTAATTTATTAAAGAACAATTAAATAATCTGGAGTAATAAAAATATTTAAAATGAATTCATATATCAGCTTATGAAATAAAAAAAAAGATGTAATAATAAATTAAAAATTTCTAATTTAATTAATGAAATGACCTATTTCTAAAATTAAGTAAAGTTTTAAATCTTTATATATAAAAAATTTACGAAAATAAATATAATTATTTATGTTTTACTTTATGATTTAATGAAAATAGAGAATATTTTATTATATTTAGAATTTGTATTTTTCAGAAATTCCTTTTTGTAATAATTAGTATTTTAATATTGAATTTGAAAAATATAAATTACCATACTTAAAAGACTTAAATAAAATGAATATCGAACTTGATTTGAATGAATAAATGTAAAAGTAAATTTTAATTTTTAGTTTTTCAAATTTAAAACCTAAAAGAGAATTAACATTATATCTAAATAAAAATTGAAAAAAGTTAAATAGTATTTTATTATTGAAAAACTTTTAATAAATATGGAATTCTTGAAAAAATTAATTATCCAAAAATACTTCAAAATAGTTTTGAAATATTGGAATACATTTTGGAAGTCTTAAAAATTAATACTCAAAGATTTGAATTCTATTTTTAGAAAATTAAATACTATAATTACTAAAATTAAAAACTTATTGTAATTTTCTTTATTCCCTTAATTAGATGTTGCCAAAAATTAATATTAATTAGTATGATTATTTGTTTAATTTATATATTTTATTAGTTATTTATAAGCTCAATGCGTAATGATGATTAAATAAATATAAATTATTATATCTAATCATGGTAAAATATGAATGTCAAAGATGTAAACATATCTAAAGTTATGATGGTTAATGTAGCAATTGTTTGGCATGGGATGCATAAATGAAATAAATAGAAGATCTTAAAAGATTAAACAGAGAACTAAATGTTGCTTTTTATGGTGATGGTGGTTGTTGTGGTTGCACTGAGGAAAAAAGAAGAAAAAGTTTTTATATCTTAGGATTGATATGCATCTTAGTTGGGTCTGTGTTTCTTATTGGTAATTTTAGTGGGGATTCATCTGATACAGGAATTGGTTTTATTGGTTTAGGTGTGATCTGGTTTATTGCTGGATTTTGTTGTCCAAATGGATGTTGTGGAGAATACAAAAGAACAAATTAAGGATTGATAGAATGAAAGTTTATTTATATTACAAACTTTATATGAGTGAACTGTTTTAAACATACAATATAAATTATTCAGATAAGGCGATTATAGACTCAATATTTACAAATATCTTAAATAATTATCTAAATTAAAGTTTCCGCTTTGTTTCGAAGTAGAACACCACAATTTTTATTAGTTAAATCAATTTGATTTTCTTGAATCAATTTCAATATTGATTACGATAATAACTGTAAGGATTCTTCGATTTTTTTACCATTTAAAGCAGAAGTTTCAATATATTAGCTTTCGATTTATTTGCCTAATAATTATCATTCTTCAGTAGTTACTTCCCTTAATATTGAAATAGTTTTACTTTTTTGCATTAGATCAGACTTATTAGCAATTAATATTAATATAATTTTCTCCTTTGCATATTAATTAATCTCTAATTACCAACTCTTTATATTTTCAAATGAGTAACTATTCTTCATATAAAATACTAACGTTATTCTAATAGCTCTATATTTAACTAAATTATTAACATTCTATAATAATATCTTGTAATGGATCTAAAATTTTCTTATCCAGCAGTGTCCAAAATCCTTGCCTTTATTATTATCCCCTATAATTTGAATATTTTGGTGGCTATATCAACACCCAATGTAATTTCATGGTTTTCTTTAAAAGAGTTTCCATTTATTCTACTTAGAATGCATGATTTACCTACAGCTACTTAATTACCTGAATCTCCTATGATGACAAATTTGATATGTAATCAAAATCTAAAGATAATTCTGTCATAATTATATTTGAATATTAGATCAAATCGATTATGAATAAATTTCCTTTCAAATATTTCTAATAATTACACAATAAAATTAATAACAGCCTTATGAGATTATAATAACCACCTCCAATAAATTAGTAAACCTTTAGTTTTGGTCAAGCCAACTCATTTATTCAAAGGACTTAATAAACTTAACCAGTCATTAGAGTAAATTAACCATGCTTTCGAGTCTATACTTAACCTATGCAAAATAAGAGATAATCTAAGAGTCCCTTCTAAAGAGGATATGATACATAAGAAGAAAATAAAACTTTGAAAATGTACATATTGTAAATGGAGTAAACATTGGCAAATCTTTAGCAGAAGTATTTCTTATTTAAAATGGTTAGCAATAAAAGACTCTTGCTTTAATAATAATTAAAAGAAAATTCTCATTAAAGAGATGAAATATAGAAGTTGAAAACTGAATTATCAACTGAACTTGCAGAAAGAGCATATTTAGAAAGGGTTTGTTAAAAATTATGATTGGTAAATATTATTTATGACTACTTAAAATAAGCTTATATAGAATTATCATATTATATGTAATTTATTCAGTATTTTATTAATATTTAGAAATCTGTTATTTGAAAGTTAAATAAATTTGATAACTGATATAAGAAATCTTGTACTCTTTAGTTTAAAATAGTTATTTATAAACGACATATCTCATCTAATTTAAGATTTATTCTTTCCTTTAAGTTTAATAATTTTTATTTAAAAACCTTTAGTTTATTTAATACTAATCACTTCTATAGATTTAAAGATATATTTTATAAAGAACATATTAATTTCATTTATTCAATAATAGAATGTATTATTTTCTTAGATAATACAACAAAATTAATTTTTAAACTTAATATTCTCTAAAATAATTTATAGATCTCCTTTACAATCTATCAAAGTTTAATTTTATATTCTATGGATTATAGAAATTTGAAAATGAATTAAAAAGATTCATTCAATTGATTTTAAAGTATATAATATTAAGATTTTAGATCATTCTAATATAATCCATTTATAATTAGAGGCTGTTAAAAAGAATTCTATAAAATGATTCTAATGATTAATAAAATATATAAGATATAATATTAGTAGTATTCAAATTAAAATCAATCATCTTAAGTCAATTGTTTCTGCTCTAGTAATCCCATGATTATTTTTTGAAGTAGATGATGGGAATACACTCCAAAAACGGAGGCTTTCATCACCTGCTCCAGTAACAATATTTTATCCACAAGGTGAGCCACTTAAGTATAAGACTCTTTAAGTATGACCTGTTAATGTAGCAACTTTTGACATATTAGCATAGTTCCAAACAATTATTTAATTTAAGGAATAGCCATGAGTTGAAACTAATTCATTTGAGTTTTTAGAAAACATTAAATTACATACTTGAGAACCAGTATCTATACATTCCACTTATTCTATAGTTTAAGTATTAAAGAATCGAATGCATCTATCAGCAGTACCACCACCAGAAGCAACAATATTATGTTAATGAGGTGACCAACCAATTGCTTTAACAGCTGCTTAATGTTATGAAAAATGAGTTAATTCTCCTTAGTTCTTCAAAGACCATATAAATAACTTATTATCATTTCCTCCTGATGCTAATTGTTGTTCATCAAATGACCATTTTAATCCACAAATTTCTTACTTGTGTCCAACATATTTCTAAATAGATTCATTAGGACATCTAACATCTCTAACTAATATGTTTCTATCTCTACTTCCAGTAGCTAATAAATAATTATTCCATGCTAATGATCCAATTCTACCTTAATGTCCACTCCATTTTCTAATAACTTTTTATTTTACTACATCCCATACATCAACATCACCCATAGTATTTCCAACAGAGAGATGTTAATTTCTTTGAGACCATGCTACACTACATACCATATCAGGATCTTCAAGTGTACATAAACGAGAAACTTTTGAAGTATGTCCTGACCATATAAGAACTGAATTTTCAAGTCCTACTGCTAATGCATTAAATGGTGACCAATCTAAAAGATTGAGGTAAAAATCATCTTATAAATTTTCAGCTTCTAATATTTTGTATGGTCTTTTATTAATTTTACGTGGTGGTTTTTCAGGTTCAACTTTTGTTGGAGTATTAGAGAAATTTAATCCATTATTTATAATCTTATTCATTTCATTTTGTTTATTTTCTGTTTTATAATTAAACAGTTTTTAATTTATGGCTGGTGATTTTCCCAATATTGAGGATTAGAGAAGATTATTGTAAGTATTGCCTTAGCAATTTTCTTCACTCATGAATAACTGATAGAGGTTAGATTGCACATTACGTGGAATAAACTTTATATATTGAAATTAATTTATACACGATCGCTTTTGTCTTTAGGGCTTGTCCAAGATTGTTTATTAAGATCAATCTCTTTTATGGGTGTTTAATCATTCATTGGAAAACAAATGTATGTTTATTTTTTTAATAAAATTTATCTGTTATTTGATTATATTAATAAAATATATTTATATTATGATTATTTTCACTACAACTAAAAAAATTGTATTATTAAAATTATACACTTCAAGAACATAAAAGACCTAAATAATGAACGAAATAAGCATAGTTTCACTCAATCTACTCCTTAATAACATTCATCTATCACAATCCCATATTGATGAAGCTGCCAGATTCTACATTAACCACAGTAATGATCAGAAGTCTTAACAATCTTTATGTGAAGAGTGGTGCAATCACTTCCATTTTGCAAAAGGAAATGTTGATGGAGATAAAGTAATTGTCTCTTTGCTTCATATGGCATAAAGAGTAATAGAATATGTAATTAGATTGGAAGGAACATGTATCCATTATATGTTATTTATTTATTAGATGCTACTATGAGGGATGCTTTCAAGAAATAAATCATCAAGGCTTTCACATTACTTAAAGATCACAATTCTTCATAGGATTTAAAATAATAAATCAAAGATCTCCTTAAATAATGGGAAGAAAAATAAATATTCTCCAAATCAGACATTTCTATCATGATTGAAACTATCGATCCAAATAAGGTTAGCAAAGACAAAATCAAAACTCAATTTGCCCCACCTCAATATTTGATCAATTATGCTAAAAATTATAAAGTAAATATAAATCACAACTAATTTATTAAGGATTTGCAAATTAGATTATAAAAAATGAATGAGTATGAAACTAGACTTGATGATCTTATTAATAATGGAGCCTAAGATAGAATCAATCTTTATGATCAACAATTGGATCAATATACAAAGTCTGTTGAAAGTGTTTAAAAATATAGACAGTTAGTCATCAAAGATATTATTGATGAATTAAAAGAACTAGATAAAATACATTCTAAAAGCATTATTGATTTAAAATATATAGCATAAAGAGTATCTAATTTGAAGGCAAAAAAAGAAAAAAGAATTTAAAATGAATATTATAATGATTAATGATAATATTAAAAATTTCATTAAGAAATTAATTTAAATTTAAAATGAAACAAAATATTAAATCCCCTGCACCATTTGCTATCACTGAAGAAAAACACACTATTGAAACTATGTTAAATCTTGTTAAACATCAGACATAATAACTGAAAGATTAGCAGCTTCAATAAAGCAACGAAATTAAGTTATTAAGTAAAGCTTTCAGGGATTAAAATCAATCAATTTTGTAAAGCCAAAATCAAGAATATTTTAATTTAACATAAAAATTAATTGAAGAGATTGAATCTGATAATTATTTTCAAGTTAAGCTGAATCAAATTTAAGCTTACAATAAATAACTTTATAATCTTATTAAAGATGTCTAAAAAGAAATACCATCTTAATATTAACAACTTTCTACTATCAATAGGATAATCAATTTCTATAAATGCATTTTCAAAATATCAATTAAATAATTGAATAAAGAAGAAGTGGCCATCATTTTTCATTAAACCCTTGGAAATACAGATTATGGGCATCCAATAATAATTAAATTGAAGGATAACAAATAACAATAAAGGGAATAATTTTGGAATCAATTTACATCTTTAATGTGAGATTATTCATATACTAATTTTTTATTTATACTTTTTACTTCTTTATTCTTAGTATTATCAATAATAAATTTATAAGTAATCAATTTTCTATTATTATTTTACATTAAAAATATTTTTATAACCATACCTAACCTTTATAATCTATTTTTAATTTTTTGAAAATGATGGATTATTGTTAGATTATTAATAGTTTAAATAATAAAATTAGACTTTTATAATTATTGTATATAATATATAAATTAGTAATGGGTTCAGCAAAAGCAACACCAACTGCTCTTTATTTAAAGATCTTACCTCGGTCTTATTTATACTCTTTCAACAATTAAATTGCTTTAACTTATGTGATTAACTATTTCATTAAAAACACCTTTCACTTTTTGAGAGTCTGTAGAAGAAGTAAAGTAAAAAGGATAATTTTGTTTTAGTCTATTGATATATTTACTTTCCTATTTTATTGGCTTGTCTATTTTATTGCCAATAAAGATTATTGGAGTTACTGATTTATAGGTTCTAACAATATTCAACCATTTTTCCACATGCTAATCTACCTTATTTGATGAAAAATCAAAACAAATAATAATTAGGTTAGAACCTTTCATGCTATTTATGGTGGTTTATTTAAATTTATCTAATCCACTAGTGTCATAAATCTCAAAACTTTTATTCTCTTAAGTATACCTCCAATAATCACAACCAATAGTTTAGGAAATGTTTTGGTTAAATGGTTTATTTTTTAAAATACTAAGAATTGAGGATTTTCCTGATGCAGATTCTCCAACTAAGCAAATCTTAAAAGAATTCATTAAAAATATTTATGTATTAAAATTAATTTTCTATTACCAAAAAATATTATTATAAATGAATTATATAAAAGAATTTTTTTAACCAAAAAACTCACTTTAATATTTTGCTTTCAAAAATGATGAATGGAAAATTGAAAATTGCATAGAAAAAGAAGAGAAAGTAAATTAAAAAGAGATATCAATTCTCACATATAATGTTTGGTTTGAAAAGCATAATTTTAATGAAAGAGTTATAGAAATCTTGAAAATAATATAACAGAATAACTGTGATTTGGTATGTTTGCAAGAAGTAACCCGAAACTTTTAAATTATGATGTCCAATGATAAATTTATCTAATAAAATTATTACATCACTGGAAATGTAATTAAGGATTATGGTATCTTGATACTTAGTAAATTTAAACCAAAATTTATTAATGAATTAGTTTTTAATTCCCAATTTGGAAGAACATTCTTATATATTGAATGTTAAATTAATATGCATTCTTTAATTATTGGAACTTCTCATCTAGAATCAATGGTTTACAATGAAAATGCAAGATTTGAATAACTAAAATATGTTTATAAAGAATTAGAAAAATATAAAAATGTAATAATAATGGGAGATTTTAATTTGGAAACCTAAAAAGATGAATTATCTATTTCCCCAGCATATGTTGATTTATGGAAACATCTTTATCCTGATAATCCTGGATACACCTTCATAATTGAAGATTTTAAAAGAAGATTTGATAGAGTATTGTTGAAAAAAGAGTACATCATAAATATATTAAAGGGGTTCGTATTTAGCAAATAAAATAGAGATTTTAGGCAAGGATGAACTCCCAATTTACAAAAATAAAAAGCCTTCATAGAAAGGAGAAGTTAAAACTCCTTCAGATCATTTTGCATTAAAAATCAATTTATAATATTAATCATGATATCAAATTGTTTTGAATAATTTATTGAATATAAAAAGCAACAGAATAAAATGATTCTTCTAAATTCTTTATCTATATTTAAATAAACTCATTCGATGCCTTATGAATATTTTTATATGTTAAAAAACAATTCCTATTGCTTTTAATATTTCTTAATCTATTTAAAAAAATCATGTCATTTTTTTAATTTGAGTATTTTATACTTTAAGATTTGATTTAATAATAAAAAATAAAGTTTTGTTAAAACATCAATTTGAATTTAATTATTATTAATTCAGAGCAAATTTAGTTTTATATTAGGAAAATTATCAAGATTTTATTATTGTGAATTAAATAATGTTTTACTAGATAAGATTTCTAAGTCTTAAATCCAATCAATAACATAATTAACACAAAAATATCAATCTATTGTATAATATTAGGATTTTTTTGATTTATAATTTTTCAAATCAATGCTATACTTTATAGGGTTTTAGATGGAAAATCAGGATGAAGTATGAAAAACTGTTTTAGTTTTTCTAAAATACAAAGATTATAGTTAATTAAATAATCTTATGATGAAAGATTATTTAAGAGCATGCAATAATATAAACTTAATAAGAATAATAATCAACTTAAAATAATATAAACATTTGAAAGATGATACCTAAAATGATTAAGGAATATAGATATGAATTTTTCTTTTCTTTTTTATATATTCTTTAAATTTTAATTAATTTATTTAGCACTTACCTTTTAAATCTAGATTTTAGTAGTTTTAACTTTCTAATTTGTATTTATTAAAGAGGATTTTATTTTCGTTACTAGATTTTGATTTTCGAATAAATAGGTGGAGGACCTTGAATAATAGATTTCATAGTCTGAATAAAAGCATCTAAAATTTAGAAGAAAAATGTTTAACGATATCTTTTTATCCAGCTTATTTATATAGATAAAGGAGAAATAAAAATATTTCACAAAATTGATCCAAAAATTTAAATCAAATTGAAATGAATAAATTAGATCAAGATTCAGGAAAGTTTATATTTAAAAAAATACTAAATTTGATCATTAATTGATTTTTAATTGAATGATAATTGCAAAATATACAAATCATAAAAAAATGTATATTACACAATTTATGACCTTTATTTATTTACTTTTTTATTGACACAATAACTGAATTTTTCTTTTAATTATTATTATAACTCATATTATAATTTACTACTTTGCCAACACTTTATTAAGTAAATAATCTTTTTTTAGGTTTTATTATTTATACTTATTATTTTAACTCTTTTTCTTCCTAATCTTTAATATCACATTCTTCTTATAATTTTTAATTTTTTTACATTTATTCGTGTAATTGGTTTTCTAATCCTTATTGAGTATTAGTCAAATTTTAATATATTTCTAAGTTATCAATAAATTTTACAATCTTATTTATTCATCTAATCCTTAATTTAAGTTAGTTGATTATTAAATTACTAGTTTTGACATAACAATTCCAACAACTATCTCTAGAATAATTATGTTTCATCTTCTTTTGGTTAAACTTATAGTGTTGTAGTTTCTGATAATTGAAAGGATTCATCATTTAATATCTATATCAATTACTCGTGGCTAAAACTCATTATTTTTATTTTAAAATTATATAATAAATCTACTCATTCTCTATTCAAATATATATAAATTCTAATCAAAAGTCACTAAAAATGACGCTAGAAACTTTTTTATAAGCTCTTTTGATTTAAACCTTCATCCCAGGACTTGGAGCAGTAGAGCAATCTGAAGGTCTATTAGGATTGTTTAGATCCGGAATAGAAACTATTTATTATTGCTTGTTAGTATTTATGATTTATTTTTTTATCTCAAAACAATCTTCATGTTTTTTTATGTAATTAAAAGTTAATAATTTATTTTGAATAATTTCATTTTATATTTATTTTTCAATTTCTTTGATTTAAGTTTACATTACATCGTTATTCTCTTTATTAGGAAACAAATAAATACTTATTTTTTAATTTAATTGATTAGAATGAATTTAGATTTAGTTCTGAAATTCAATATTTTATTATCTCAGCTCTTCAATTTATGAAATGAGAAAATCAAATTTATCTAAAGAACCTGTTTTTCCTTTAAATATAGGTGTGTGTGGTTCACTTTTATCTTTATCCTCAAACATCTATTATAATTAATGTATACTAAAACTCATAATAAATAATTATTAATTAATATTTATAAATAAAAACATTAAAAGTACTAACACCTCTTCTTTTGGAATGATATTTTTTTTAAGAAACTTCACAAATTAGTGATATTTTAAATGATAGTGATTTCTAAAATTATTTATATTTTAGAATTATCTTACATACTAGAGAAATTATAGATTTTGAATCTATTGATTATTACAATTAATTCTGATGATATTCTCATCTTTAAGAATAAATTATGAGGCATTCTTTTAGTTATTAGTTATTAAGTAGAATATTAAGCCACTATTATTTTTGATATAATAAATTAGAAGGAAGAGCTATAACTCCATACTTTTTTTAATCTTCTTTGGTTTTCCTATTAATTGAAGCAATCTATAATACTTTTTGGCCAAAATCTTTTCTAAAATTTTAGGATCTGACTATTTAAGTAGTACATAATTATTATTAAAAAGTTAGGTATTATTATTGAATTCTCATTACATAATTTCAACTTTCAATTATAATTCTTATTAGTATTTGCAATAATTAGATGTTTAATTAGTTTCCATACAAGTATTTTATTCATTCAATGCTACAAGAAAATGTAAACTTTTATCATCATAAGGATAAGGTTGCTGTATAAATAATACAAAAAATATTAGATGACTTTTTTATTGAGTTTTTTCAAGTCCTTGCTGAAATTATCAATTATTAAATCATTCTCTTTTGATTCGAAGTTTGACTTAAAAATAAAAAATAAAATAATTTTATTTTGTCATTGAGGATTTTTAAAACAAAATGGATCTAAAATATTTGCTAAAATAAAATATAAAATTATATACTTTTGATGGTTACACATAACAATTTCACTCCTTTTTCTATAAAATATGCTTGTATATTAAATATTAATATTTAACCTTTGAGCAATAAAGTTATTTTTAATCCTTAACATATTTACATTATTAGGCCTTGTTTTCTCATTCATAATATTTATGAATTGATTAATATAATTTTAAGAATAATTTTTTTCATTTTACAACCTTTAATGCCATCCTATCAAATATAAGAGATAATTAAAATTGCATGATGAAAACTAATTTGGAAACATCAGAAGGTAATGATTCAATTCGGTAAATTATTTTTATAAAATTAAGGGTTATACTGATGAAAAAATTAAAACTTTTATGCTATCTTAAATAAGTTAATTTATGTTTAAATTATGTATGAAGATGATTATAGTTTTACCTAGACAAGATAATATTAACTTGTAATTTGGAGGGAGAATCTTAAATTATTCTTTAAATAAAATATATTTAATTATTTTATTAAATGCCATCGCCAGAAAGAAAGAAGAATAAACATAAGAAAAAAGACAAGGATAGCAGTCATAGATCTTCTCCAAAACATAAATCGAAGAAAAAGGTAACTTTGCATTTAATTTATATTAGAAATCTTCGAGAACACCCAGCAGAGGAAGAGAGAAAAAAAAGGATTATAAAAAAGAGATTAAAGAATCTCCACATAATACATAAACTTTAAGTGATAAGCAATTAACAGATATGTTTGGAAGCCTTCCAGGATTTAATTTAGAAATATTAAAGAAGATTTAAGAATAAATGAAAGATGGAAGAAGGCCCTCAAATGATGATTAATAATAATTAATGGGATTGTCAGGTAATATATGAAGTTAATTGTTTAAAGCATTTGGTTTTCTTCCAATTATTAATCAGCAAATTCCGATAGTGTTACCAACCCCTGGAACGAAAAAAAGCTCCAGATAATAAAAAAATATGAAAAATACTTTTAAGTAGAGAATGTTAGTACCATTTACCTATGACACATTAATGGTAATCTTAGAAGATTAGTTTTATTAAGACTAATTACCTGAGGAATTAATAACTTAAATAAAAAGAAGAATAATTGATTTAATTAAAAAAAGGGTTCAAGATTAAAAATAAGAAGAATTTAATGAAAAAATTGAAAAATTAGAATAAGATCTTAAGAAACCTATGATATTAGATGAACAGCAATAGCAATAATAGCAACAATAGCAATTAAATTTAATCAAAAGTATTTTCACAGTGCTTCAGAGTAACAAAGAAGAAAGAAATCAATAAAATTAATTAAGTACTGATATCAAAGATTTACTTTAACCTATGGAAATTGAAACACCAAATATTGTAGAAAAGGATCTTTATGAAGAAGCTAAGCTTTTGTTTAGGTGAAAATGATTAATAAAAGTTTACATCAAATAAGTTATAAATAAATATATATAATTTATTTTATTTGATGTCAACTCCAGAGAGAAAAAAAAGAAAAAGATAGTAGTCATAGGTCTTCTTAAAAAAGGAAATCCAAAAAAAAAGTTATTTTAATCCTTATATAGAAATCCTCAAGAACATCTAGTAGGAATAGAGATCGAAAAACCTATAAACGTGATAGCAAAGCTTCAACATTAAATATTTATATCTTTGGATAGGAAATAATCAAAAAATTACAGGAATATAACAATGGGAAAAGAACTGAAGATTTAATGGGTATTGATTGATTTTGATAAGCCATGTCATTACTTCCATACATGAAGCCTTCCTAAATTAATAGTGAAGCCAATATAATTGAACAAAAATAATAGAAAGATAAAAAAAGCATGTAAAAATAAAGATTGCTGATTCCGATAAATTATGATACACTTATGATCATTATAGACGAACCTTTTTATAAAGAACACTTGTCTGAAGAAATGATTAATTTTATGAAAATAAGTTGATATCTAGTATGAAAAGATAAGTTATAGATTATAAGACTGATAATTTTTTATTAATAATTGACAAATTAGAGTAAGATTTCACAAAAAAGGTAGATGTTGAAGAATTAGAGAATTAGATTTAATTAGGTGTTGTAAATAGTATTTTTAATATTTTGAATAATAACAAGGAATTAGAAAATAATTTGGATCCCGCAATAAAAGATATTTTATAAATGATGGAAATAGAAAAGCCTAATATAATACAGGATGATATATATTTTGAAGCTAAACAGATGTTTTTATGATAATATATATTATCTTAATGTATCAATCTTCTTACTTAAAAATTTATAGTAAATGTGTTTTTGATAAAAAAATTTGTAGCTTATTCCTTGACTTCTGATAAGGTACTCTTAGTTCACTTATTATAATAAATGATAGCTTGAAAATAAAATAATTATAGAAGTATTATCAAATGTTCTTTTGATATTTTATTTTATCAAGTTGAAAATCATCTACAAATGGTTTTATATAGGAAGAAGTAGGTACTTGATTAAATATTACAGAATGAAATATTTGAATAAAATGAGATGTACTGCAAAAAAATATTTCAACAATTTATGATGAATATGTAGAAATTAAATTTATAAGAATTAATAAATCAGAAGGCTCATAATGATTAAATTACTAAATTATCCTTATTTAATCTTAGTTGCTCTGTTGAAAAATGGTAAATAAATGATAAGATTTCTTGTAAATAATTTTAAATAAATCATCATAGTTAAGATATTCATGCCTCTTGAATTAATTCATCATCATTATTCTCTTTGATTACTTTAACTTTGAGATCAAATCTACAAAATGGACAATAAGAATTTTTGTTAAGCCATTTTTCAATACAATTACCATGAAATACGTGACTAAATGATAGAGAAATCTGAATACCTGCATTGAGTTTTTCGGATTATTTTAGCTGTTTTTAATGATTCCAAACAAATTCCACAATTATCTTATCCATCTTGCAAATCATTTTTAGATATAATTTCAAGGACATCATTATATGGTTGTTATTATTATTCTTAATAAGCTGGGACTTCTAAATCCTTCTCCTTAATTTCAATATCAATATTGGGTGTTGCTGGTGTTTATTTTTCTCTTTATCTTTTTATATATGCTCTTCTTGAACAAAATCCTATCAAACATAACAAGAGAGATCCTCCAATGCTACTAACGAGAATTATTATTAGTTTGCTTTTTTTAGATTTATCTTATGAGATGGCATCCAATTTTATTGAGAATGTATCTCCTTGTACAAGAAGAATTAATTTATCTGGAATACGTTCATCATCATTATCTTTTCTACGATTTTTTTAATCTATCATGACTGAAAATGGCTCTTCAGTTGTTATATTTGCTCCTTAATTATAAATAAAAGGAGTTGGTATATAAACAAGATCAGGAACTAGAAGATATGCAAATACTGAATCAAACTAATCTTCCGTCTTAAAGTATAAAAAAAATAAATACAGATATTTCTAATCTTAATTGTTGTGATCCATCCTATTCATAAAAAAAGTAAAATTCATGATCATCTGAACCTCCAACTCCAATCATAGAGTTTTATTGAATTTCAATAGCTTCAATTGAACAATCTCGTCCAATAAAAGGCTTAAAACAATTGCATTGTCCATCTATGCATTAGCCATTCTACCTACATCTCTTTGGGCATAATTTTTCATTAGATCCAGAGACGATTATATCATATGATATTGAAACATTAGTCAAAATAGTAATATATATTTAATCGTGTGAATTAGGAATCAATAAAAAATGTTCCCTTTTTTTCTAAGCATAACTAAGAATTATTTTTTTATATATACCTATCATAATCCATATCATCATAGGTTAGTTCACCATCTTGTATAAACGAGGGCTGAGACTCCATATACAAAAAAGCAATGTCTGCAATCTCAGAAGATGTTTGCATCAATTCAATAGAATAATACTCAAATGGAGAATTGGTGAAATCAATATCAAAAGTGGTGTTTGCTGATGATGTTTTAGAAAAAGAAAATTATATAGATGGCTTCTCTTCATTAATAGAAACTTAAAAGCAGGAAATTTCAAATGTGATTAAGAGTAGTAAAGCTAAAGCGAAAGTATTTCTCATAGTAAAATAATTATATCTTTGAAATAGAATCTAAAAATCCATAAATACTATATACTGCTTAAATAATTCGCTTTATATAGAATACTCCATAAATCATTTCATCATTTTTAATTAATTATTTTTTATTAGAGGAAAGAACCTTGATTTATTAAAAGAATACAAAAGAAATTAAAAACTCCGCTTATCTTATTTTGAAAATTTGGTCTAATCCACAAAATTCTAAAATTATAAAAGAAATACTAAGACCTTCTTTAAAAAAAATGAATTAGTTTGAAAAAAGAATATTTGATAGTTTTATGAATAATTTTGATTTCTTATTTCTTTTTTTGTAAATTTTTTTTTATAAAGTTAAAGAATTGATTGCAGAATATAATGTCAACAATATTTATCTTTTAGTTAGTTAATTAATTTTTTTAAGCTAGAAAGAGAGTTATTTTTATTTATATTAGTGAGAAATATCCTGTTTAATGTAATAATAAAACTAAATTCTAAATAAATAATCATAACTTCTACTATAATGGTCAGCTCTATAGTTTAGAATTTAGATTATTATCAATTTACTCGCTTTAATAGGCAGCTTTTTGTTTACTGAATTATTTTCTTCTGATCTATCACTTTTTAATGAAAGAAGGGAAACATGTGATAAAATTCATTTTTCCTAAAAAGTTTACGATTTTTGGAAGGCACTTAGGAAAAAATAAACAAGAAGACAGTCATAGGTACTTATAGGAAACTAAAATAATTTTGTATAATTTTTATTTTATATCTCATTCATTTTTCATGAAACAATCTGATTAGACACCATATAATGTAAAGTTCTAAACCAAAACTGGAAATCCCCAATTATTGTAATAGAGGTTTTACCAATCTCCTAACAATCCTGCAACAGGAATTGGATAACAAACCTTAAAGAATCCCAAATGTCTCTTGCATTTTTCTTTAGTTGATAATTCACTATGTTGATATTAAGCAATAACAATAGCTCTAAATTCTTCCATATCTAAGTTTAAGTTCAAAGTATATTAATTAGAATTAATTGATTAGATCTTTTAGTCATATCCAAAAGCAACATTACTTGTTACATTTCCTGTGAATATGTCAGCAACAACAGCTGTTCTAACAGCGACTAAATCTGGGATTGAAGATTCTCCATATACTGTCAATAAGACTGGAACAAGGAAGATATCTTAAACTGAAAAGATAGTGGCATTTTATTAGACATTTTATTAAACGATAAATCCATAACTGAAATCAGCTCCAACACCAACTGTAAATCCTTAAACAACTAAGTCAGTTTAGAACAATGAAATATTTTACATACCATTAAGTTCGATATCTCTAAAAGGTTATCCTGTATAATTTAGATTTGAATTGATAATCTCAAACAAACACATTCCTTCCATAGCTACACAGAACTTAATATTTAAATCTGCAATTCCGTTTCCTGCTGTTCCTTTAAGTGCTAAATCTAATTATAATTTAGTTCCTTTAACAGTGAAAGTAAGAACAGTTTTTTAGAAATCGATTAAACCATTTGAAGGACAATGTAAAGAACTATTTGAAATTGTTTCTTCGATAAGTAATCTGTGCTTTTCTGCCTTTTACTTCATTTCATACATATTTAATGATTTATTCTATCTATTTTTAATAAGTCTATCTTAAATTGTTGCCAAAGAATAAGTTTGAATGTTTTGTTTTGATTAAATATCTGAAAGAAGCTATGTATATTTGACATCGATATTTGAGTTACCTAATATCAAATTTGAGTCATCTGAAACAATAGTTTTATAAGAATATTCAACATCAGCGCCTTAAGGTTGAACAGAATGATCCATAACAATGTTTACTGAAATTTTAGATGAAATAATTTAGTTTTATCTACTTAATAAAGTTGTTTAGTTTTAAGAAAATTGATCTCCAATTAAAAAGTTTTCATTCAAACAGTCATCCTGAGTTACTTATTTAGTAACCTTAGTATTTCCAAACCAGCTTGTTTCTATATTTCTTTTTGAAATAAACTAATATTTTCCAATTATATATGGATTAATTATTTAGTCCTAATCAATTTGGGTTTCTTACACATTAGGCCCTAAATGTTATATTGTTGCGATCAATGTTTATAACATTAAACCATTTAATGATGATGGTACACCAATTTCAATAACTTAACCATTTTAATTATCAGTTGTAAATGTGACGATAGGAATTTCGTCATAACAGGGACCATAACATCCATCAGCTGAAACTTGAAGTAAACGTAAGTTTTTGGATAATTCTTAGGAAATGTTCAAATTGGCATCGAATAAATTATCATAAGCAGTTGTTCCATTGGAATAGGTTGTATTTTAAGTAACCTATAATCCATCTAAGATTATTAAATGAGTGGTATTTTATTGATTAGAATCTACAGTTACAGTAGATGTATTTGCAGCAATTAGAGTACAATTAGTTGAGCCTGTTGAAACTTAATATACACATAATTAATCTTAAGAATAATATTAACTTCTTTAGTTTAATGTGTAAGTTGGAACACTCTCACCTTTAGGTGTGAAGACTATTGTAAGACTTAAAACAGCAGCCAGAATCAAACCAGCAACCAAAGCTTATCTGAAACGAACCTATTTCTTTTATTAAGAGTCTTTTAACAGCATTGTTTCTGCAGGGGCAATATCAAATGAATTTTGTGTTTACATTAAATTTTAAATCTTTTTTCTAAAATATTATGCTTTTTATAATAGAGAATAGGAGCTGTATCTTTTTATATATATATAATTTATTTAATTAATAATTTTTGTGATTTTTTATTTCTTTTCTATTGTGAAAATGATTTGTTTATCTTTTGTAATAAACCCAATAGTTATTCAATTTTTCTTGTCATTATTTTTAAGTAATTCATATTGGAGATAAAATATCAAAATAATGGATTGGGAAAATGCTTGTTTATTGTAATTATAACTAATAGTTAACTAAATTGATACAAAAGCTAACGAGAAATGAGTTTCTTGTTTTCATTTAATAATATTATTAATGCTACATTATATAAACTAATTGCACCATAAATTATTTTTTAAATAATAGTAAATTAATTAAATTTTTATATATTGAAATAATGTAAAATAAAAATACTCATATCATACTTATTATTTTCACATCTTAGTTAAATATGAAAGTATATATTATTGAATCGTTAATTATCTATTTCAGTATTGTAAAATAATAACAAATTACCTTGTTGAAGAAATGAAATATGAAAAATAGTATTGTAAATGAGAGAAATTAACTTATTGTAAAAATAATTTAATTATCACATGTGATTTTTAGGAATGTAATTAATAAATATTATAAAAAAAGCTTATTTGATTGCTGTTTCTATTGAAGAGAATTGGATTTTGAATTAAAGGAAATTATCTGCAGACACTTAACTTAGAATTAATTATGAAAAATATTCTAGAATTTGAATTCAAAATTTATTAAATTCAAAAATTATTTACATTTAAATAAAATTATCACACAGAAACAGCTTAATAATTATTAATTCTAAAATAACAAAGTAGGTGTTTAAATTATTTAGAAAGAAATTGGAAAATATTTATTTTGAAGATGGAAATAAGAATTTTGCTTAAGTTTTATGATTAATCAAGTTATTAAGTTCAGCACTAAATTGAATTTCAAATTTAAGTAGTGGGAAATATATTATAAATTAACAGAAGATCTAAACTATCAATTTTTGTTGAGTAGAATAAACTAATTAAATCTTTCATCAACAATCTTCTTGCTTCAAGCTTTGAATATTGTATTCTAGCCTAAAAAGGAAAAAAGAAATAAGAAATTTATTTGATAAGAGATCTAATGGCTTAAATAATAGTTGATCTACGAAATAAATTAATAAAATATACTCATAAATTGGGTCAGCTTGATAAAATGCAACCTGATAAGCCTAAATAAAAAATAAAATTATATGGCAATTAATTTATAAATTATTTTTTTAAATTATGATGATCTCTACTTACATCATCGAGTTTGTATTATGGAGAGCTGTTAGGCAAAGTGATATTAGAGGAGAGTTCGAATTATCCCAAAAAATACTACTAAATAAGATGTATTCAATAATTCTAAAATGTAAAGCTATTGACTCATTTTGTATGACAATAAGAAAATAATGCTTGATGATTACAGAATCAGATGTATAACTACTGGAATAAATATATATTGTTAAAATACATTTAAATAGGCCACTTGTGAAGGAACACCTCTTGGGGATTGAATCTAATCTGTATTTATCAGATTAGGTATCTATAAATATTGACTTAATCTTTTGGGAAAGTATTAAGACAAATAATAAATCAAGTAACATTTTAAATTCATGCTGAGATGCTAACAGTGATGATTTAATTGTAACTGATAATAATAATTGCAATTTATTCCTTGAGAATTTTGTGTTATAGGAAAAATTTCAATCATAATAATTGTGTTGATTAATTCAAGGGTATAATAAACATACAAGACCTTAAAAAAAAACAAATTTATAAAGTAACTTAAACTACAGCACTACAGTTTGTAAATCAATAACATGAGATTGCTTATATCTCACTTTTGATAATGATCAAGATTAAAATAATTATTTAAGTTTGAATGAAATCTATTATTGAAACAGCAATAAAATATACTTTAGTAACTGGTATAGTCAATGAATAGCTTGAAAATCAAATTTGCAGGATATTTATAAAGTTGTAAAAAAAAAGTTCCTCATACACAGCTTATCAAGATGGTATAAAAACTTGCTTAATTTTAAAGTAGTAAGGGAGCTAATCATTGTTATTGAGGAGTAGATGCAAAATGTAAAAATAAAACATGCAGTGATAAAATTAATAAAAAAATGATGCAGTTTATACAGCCTTTTACTCTAATAGGTGAGTTACAAAAAGAAAATTATAAATTATGAAGCCTTCATTATTTAAGTATCATATGAAAAAAAATGTTTAAAATTGCCTGAAAATTTAGATGCTGATAAATGCACAAAATATCGAACCCTTTTTATGAAAAGACTAATTACTACAAATCAAAAACTTGAATAGATAAAAATGAGGACTTTGATCATATCATGCTGATTTCAGACTTAAATTAGGATATAATATTATTTATGTAAAGTTTAGCTACTTTCCTCATGATAACAATTTACTTTTACTGAAGAATAAATTAGTAAAATTATTATAATTCCTTAACAATATCATTAGTTAGAAAAATGTTTGAACATGTTAATTTGCTAAAACCAAATATACATCTAAATAAAAAATACCTACTAGTTATTCATCAACCGGAATCTCAATAAATTAAACTCAAAATTCTACACCTTTGAAATGATATAATTTTGGTACTATTTCAGGGTTGACAGATATTTTTAGAACTTCAAATTGTAGCTTGTGGCACTATATGATTTTCTTAAGTAGATAGTTAAATAAAAAAAGTAAGTTTTTATACTACTTTGATAAATATATATAATTAACATTTAGAGCTTTATTTTCTCAAGTCTTAAATGCAAATAATACAACTCCATATATTTGTTAGAATATTTTCGATAATCTAAGAATTATAATCTGGAATTCCAACTAATGTGGATTGTGCTAATCGAAAAATATGAATATTCATGAAATATTGATCTAATCCTTATTTTAGGGCATGAACTGTATGTTCTTTTGTAACAACTGCTTCTTTAATTTAAGAAAATCTAAATGAATTACTACACCAATTCTATTTTGATTCCTATATTAAATAGAAGATGCAAATTGCGTAGTTACAATAATTGCTTGCGAAAGCTATTGAAGTATCCCTATTTACATTCAATTGTAAAATGGTTAGGATGATTTAATCAGACAAGATATGTTTGGTTCATTAATGTATGTAAGATAGCAAAAAAGCAGAGGATTGAGCAGTATATAAGAATATTATTATATATAAATATTTTTGATCACTAACAAATTCCACTTACAAGTATAGCAATTTCGCCAAATTACCAACTGCTAGCTACAGGTGACACTAAAATTATAATTTGGAATGCTTCAAATATTTCAGATGTTTAATAAATCTTGGAATTCCAGAAACGAAATAATTAAGCAATTTGATTTGAATAGCATTTTAAAGAGATAATTAAGTATTAGCTGTTGGATGGTATGATGAGAAATTAGTATTTTGGAATATTTAGAATCTTAATCAAGTTTAACTATTATATTTTTTTTATTCATAATAAAGTGTAACATAGGTAGCTTATTCAAATGATGGTAAGTTCTTTGCTTCGAATACTTGCTCTTCATTTAAAATTTATGTAGTTCAAAAGTTACCCTATCAATAAGATTACATACTAAATTTTAGCAAGTAGTACAAATTAATAAATAAGCATGTGGGACATTAAAAATTTATTCTAAATTAAAATGCTCTCGATTCTTAAAGAACATTCAAAAAAAATTTCAACTTTAAAATTCATAAATGATAATTTAGCTTTTGGTTCAGGTAGCTTGGATAATATTATTTGTCTGAAATTTACTAAATTTATAATTAATAGTTAAATTGACAACTCATTTAGATCAAGTTTTAGATCTTGCATTTTCATCTGATGGATAGCAAATGGCAACTTCCAGTTTAGATAAAAGAATTATTTTTTGGAGTAGGACTAACTTGGATAAACCAAAAATTTAAATGATATTATAACAGCAACTTGGAGCTCAAAAGATTATTTATTGTCCAAATAAATAGATCTTGGTATCATTATATGGCTAAACTTCTAATGAGATAAAATTTTGGAATTCTGCTGANCTTTATTTTCTCAAGTCTTAAATGCAAATAATACAACTCCATATATTTGTTAGAATATTTTCGATAATCTAAGAATTATAATCTGGAATTCCAACTAATGTGGATTGTGCTAATCGAAAAATATGAATATTCATGAAATATTGATCTAATCCTTATTTTAGGGCATGAACTGTATGTTCTTTTGTAACAACTGCTTCTTTAATTTAAGAAAATCTAAATGAATTACTACACCAATTCTATTTTGATTCCTATATTAAATAGAAGATGCAAATTGCGTAGTTACAATAATTGCTTGCGAAAGCTATTGAAGTATCCCTATTTACATTCAATTGTAAAATGGTTAGGATGATTTAATCAGACAAGATATGTTTGGTTCATTAATGTATGTAAGATAGCAAAAAAGCAGAGGATTGAGCAGTATATAAGAATATTATTATATATAAATATTTTTGATCACTAACAAATTCCACTTACAAGTATAGCAATTTCGCCAAATTACCAACTGCTAGCTACAGGTGACACTAAAATTATAATTTGGAATGCTTCAAATATTTCAGATGTTTAATAAATCTTGGAATTCCAGAAACGAAATAATTAAGCAATTTGATTTGAATAGCATTTTAAAGAGATAATTAAGTATTAGCTGTTGGATGGTATGATGAGAAATTAGTATTTTGGAATATTTAGAATCTTAATCAAGTTTAACTATTATATTTTTTTTATTCATAATAAAGTGTAACATAGGTAGCTTATTCAAATGATGGTAAGTTCTTTGCTTCGAATACTTGCTCTTCATTTAAAATTTATGTAGTTCAAAAGTTACCCTATCAATAAGATTACATACTAAATTTTAGCAAGTAGTACAAATTAATAAATAAGCATGTGGGACATTAAAAATTTATTCTAAATTAAAATGCTCTCGATTCTTAAAGAACATTCAAAAAAAATTTCAACTTTAAAATTCATAAATGATAATTTAGCTTTTGGTTCAGGTAGCTTGGATAATATTATTTGTCTGAAATTTACTAAATTTATAATTAATAGTTAAATTGACAACTCATTTAGATCAAGTTTTAGATCTTGCATTTTCATCTGATGGATAGCAAATGGCAACTTCCAGTTTAGATAAAAGAATTATTTTTTGGAGTAGGACTAACTTGGATAAACCAAAAATTTAAATGATATTATAACAGCAACTTGGAGCTCAAAAGATTATTTATTGTCCAAATAAATAGATCTTGGTATCATTATATGGCTAAACTTCTAATGAGATAAAATTTTGGAATTCTGCTGAATTTAATTTGATTTCAAGTTATGCGATTGAAGCATCATATAGAGATAATGATATCCTTTAGCTAGGATAGAATTCTTAGAATATGGAAAATAAATCAATAATGCTTGGATATTGATAAATAAATCAAGATTGATGAAGGAGGACGACTTTATAAAGTGTATTATCAGAATAGTTAAAATATTATTGCTCATATTGGATTTAATGTTTATCAACTGGAAATATAATTGAATAATCCTTAAAAAAAAAAGTTTTCCCTTTTCGGTGGATGCCTATTGTATTTCAGTATCTTAAAATAATAAAATTATCGCTATCGCCAATAGAGTTTTTAATAGAATAGAGATTATAGTTATTGAAAATTTCAATAATAACACTAATATTCATTTTGAAGAGAAAAATTATATCAAAGACTTTTTATTTTCCCCTGATTCCTCACTCTTAGCTATTGCAACAAATAAGGGAGCATTCATCTAAAATATTATAACAAGTTAAATATTGTAGAATTTTTAAGTGAGTAAATGTTTTTTATTGATTTGTTTTCTTGGGAAAGATTAATTAGCAATTGTTCTAAGTGGATAACTAGTATTATATGATATAAAAGATCTTTAATAAACAAAACTATTATCAGTTATTACCTGATCTTACTTTGAAAATGATTTTTTTAGAAAAAATTATAAATTTGTATATTTAGTTAAAATTGCATAGCTTTGGTAAACATGCTAAAATAATAGTAAATTGAATTATTAATATTTGATAATAGAGAAATATCAAGAGATGTAATTTTTGATTCAGAAAAAATTTATAGGAATGGGAATAGGATAAGATATTTAATTTATATCACTTGAAAATACTATTCCAGTTGAAAAAATATTCTATTTAATAGAATAGAATTATCATGTTGGCTATTATTATTAAAATTTTTCATCAGATAGCAATATTTTGTCAATTTTAACAGCCAATTTGATATATTTTCAATTAGAAATTTGTTCTAATAAGATTTTAAAATAAATAAATTTTAATAAGTTTAATTCAAAATTCTGTGCATTAAATTAATAAGAAACCATGAAATTCTAAGTAAAAACAAATATCAATAATTTGATTTAGTGGAACAAAAATTACTATTAATTGAATTTGAAACTTAAAAAGTAATATCTTGTTTTGAAGAGGTACTTGATTAAAAATTCTAGTGTATAGATTGCATTTTTTGTTAAGATAAATTAAATTTTGTTACAAGTGATTTAGATTTAAGAATTAAATTATGGGATACTAAATCTTGTAAATTGCTCTCTTACTTTAAAACAGATCCTGAAAGAATAGATATGCTTACAATTTCAAGTAGAGCAATATTAGCTTAAACTAGTTATAATATCATAAAGTTATGGGATTTAAAAACCTTAAAACAGTAATAATTTGAAATAGATGGTCATTCTTATTCTGTTAATAAAGTATGTATTTCCTCAGATGGTTTCCAAATGGTAACAGGATCATCTGTTGAAATAATTAGATGGGATTTGGTGAATTAAAAAAGCTTGATGTATTAATGAAGGGTTAAAGACTTCCTTCTCTATTTTTCTTTTCACCTAATAATCAATATTTTATCGCAAAGGGTGAACAAGAATTCATTCATAACTGGAAATTTAATACAAAATATATTACTGAATTTCACAAAATATATTGGTGTTAACCTATCTGGTAATAATAATTTAGCTTAGATTAGAATCTACTTATTTGGTAGATTGATAAATCTAAAATATTTATTCTGAATTTGGAAAAAATTAGTAAATAGAAATAATTACCATTTTAATCAGATTCAAAGATTCAATCAAGAACGATTTACTTTCAACAAACTTCCTTATAAGAAGCAATCCATTAGAATCATATTCTCTTAATATCTGGTCAATTGAAAAAAATAAAAAATAGCTAATTTATATTCTGATGAAAAAAATATTAAAATTTTATCAATGACTTTTTCCAATAATAGCAAGATATTAATTTCATGTCACATTGATGAAAAATAAGATTGTGGAATGTAACTGATAAATTTGTGTTAATTTCATTATAGGACCAGAGATAGTCATATATATCTAACTAATTTCAGAGAAATACACACTCTTTATTTGCTTCCGATTAAAGATGAGGAATATAAAGTTATATCGTCTGAATCTTTTGATGCATGGCGGAAGTTTTTGGATAGTAGATAAAATTTTAGATTACCAACATTCGATTTTCATAATTGGAATCTGAAATACTTAAATTATATGATATATCATAAGAAACTATAAAAAACATTGTTATTTTAGAAGGAACTTAACTTTGAAAATAATTATATTCTTCCAATCTAATTTTTCAACTGAAGTGAATTATCTGTTATCATTAGGAATTGATCACACAATAAGATTATGGGATTTATCTGATTATAATTCTATTAGATTAAAAGTTAACTTGGCAAAACCAGTTTAAGCTCTAGCATTTTAATTTCTTAATTCAGAAAAAAATCAGGATTTTAAGCATATATGGTGTTATAATTGATTAAAATATTTCAGAATATTCAGAAATAGATGTTATTGAAGATTAAAATTAGTTTGATTTTAAAGCTGCAAAGTAACAATTAAATATACCTAAATATATTGGTGAAATAAAAGGTAGAGCTTAGGATATTTTGGATTCTCAAAAAAAGTAATTAATATTTACTTTGAATAGATTCAACTCCAATATATATACAATTTTATTTACTCCATCTCAATACTAATTTATGCTTGGTATGGGGGATGGATCAATATTATTCTATAAGATTGAATAGTAAACATTAAAAATTTATGAAAACCAATTTGCTATTATATTTTTGCAAAAAATCCTCTTTTATCAGCTTTAAATTGTAGTATTAGAGGATCTTCTTTTTAAACAATTGAAAATGAAATTTTGAAATAGTATTATGTTAGAAAAGAGCCAAAAAATGAATCAATATTAAATTTATTTTCCTTTTATTATTATATTTTTTCCATATTTTTATATTCATATTAAGTGTCACTTAAATTCTTTAAACTATCAAGATAACCCACTAATTTATAAACGATTATAAACAGAAATCTCAGAATCTAAAAATATGTTTTTCAATCTTATCTATGCAAATATATTTATCAACATGTAAATTCAATTGGTAAAATCTTTATTGTTAATTCAATTAAATCATAGGAATCATCAACATTAATTTCATTGCCTTACATAAAATCATTATAAAGCATATATTTATTTATTTATTTATGTCATAATCAAAATCATTTAATTTTTCTGCTACCAACCATCGGGGATTATTATAAAAATTAGTGATCAGAATTTCCTAGATAATTCTTAATTTACAAAGACTACCACATAGAATATTCTAAATAAAATTTACCTAAATAACTTCCTATTTGTGAACTTCTGGCAATTAAATCCAGGAACAATTTAATTCACAATTAGAATATTCTAAAAGAATATTCCAGAATTTTCAATTAAAAATACAACACAAATTAAAATTTCTTACCAATCGGGTTCGAACTTACATTAATATATTTAGAAACAGAATTATACAGAATGACGAACTATTGTTTTTCCAAATATAAATTTCCAAATCTTATTCTCAAGATTTAATTAAAGATTTGAATTTTTAAAGTTTTCTAGGATTCAATCTGTTTCA